ATATGTATATATATATATATATATATATATATATATATATATATATATATATATATATATATATATATATATATATGAAAAATTAACATATAAGCATTTTAAGGAGGATTGTTATAATATTTGGGTAGAATTTAATTATTTAAAAAAATGAATTGATGATATAAATAATAATAATGTTTGACCTTTAACCTTTGACTTTAACCTTTTGACATCTATCTAGCTCTAACTACTTAGTTCTCTATTTTTATTGATTTTTTTATTTCTTTTTAGTTTAGTTTTTTAATTATGCCGTAAATTATTATTTTGAATGTTCATTTATTTTATTTTTTTCCATATTATAATTTATTGTCCTTTTTAATTTATTTAAATTGCGTTAAATTTTATTATTATTATTTTTTAATATCTGTTCATTTTGAATTTATTTATTTCTTAAGAAAATCTAAATGGTATTGTTTTAAAAAATAATTAATTACCTAACTAACGAGTCGCGTTTTTCATTTTTTTTTTCATTTTATTTTTTTTAAATCTCTAATTAATTTACCACTTCATATAGAATTTCTAAATGACGTTCTCGTAAAAACTTAACGACCAATCATGAGCTAGCTGTTTGTGTTTATAACGAAATTCTTTCCTAGAAATTGATTTCGAATCAGTGGTTGAAGTATAAGCAAGCAAGAAGTTTCGAGAAGAGGTAGTGTATCTTTTATTGAGGAACCAAGCCATAAAGGACTATAATAAATAAATGGAAATGGATATTAATAATAAGGATAACGGAAACGACCTATTTGTTGGTTTTCCGTTCACGAAACTGGCGCTATTAAAAAGGGTGGGTCACGGGCAGATGGGAAGCATTTTAACTTTTGAAAATAAGTTGTAAACCAATGGCAGGAATCGATGCCACAAGAAACCAGCTTGAAAAAAGAGAACTTTCAATGTGGAAAGGTCGTTACAAGAAATTGGATGGCGGGAGAATTGTAGGAACGGAAACAAAAAAAGTAGAGGAAAGAATGTTGGATGATTTTCCAGGAAACGAAAGGATCGCTAGTACCGTGTTTAAAAATTGTGCACCTACCAGTGTACATATTCATACACAATACATACGCGAATACCAGTGTATTTACATGCGTGTACAGCTGTACGTACATCTTTATTGCGCGTTTTCGTACTTAAACATTTATTTCGCTAAGTCATTTTCGAGGTTGGAACGTAGAAAAAACTGCTTGCTGACATTCATTATCTTATAATTTCTGTCATAATTATATCTATAATTATATATATAATTATAAATATTTTAATAATGACTGACGCATGTGATTGTTATTACCTTAATATGTGAATATCACTATTTGATAAGTAATTTCGCTTGCGGTTCAGCTTACTGAATCACTAGACCATACTCGTCACCGAACGCTGATTCGTGTTACTGATAACCTTTCGATATCAGTGCGACGACAATTACCGTTAAAATTTTCATCAGTTTAAATGGTGAATTATTTCATTTATTTATTTGTTTATTTATTTAGCGGTTATTTTTTAAAGTCTAGATAATAAAAATAGTAAAATAATAATAACCTCCATCCCTACTTTTAAGTGCCTACTGAGATTATTGCTCATGTAAAGAAAACAAGTACTATAAATAATAATTAATAATAAATAGTAATAAAAAACAACAATAATATTAAACAATGTTATTATGAAAATAATAATGATAAATATTTTGACGTAGTAATTTTATTTCTACCCGTTTCAAAGTTTGTTGCTAACCAAGGAAGAACATTTAACTGCGGAATATAGAAGCTTATGTGCGTTATTTGGGTTAAACACACACCACACACACACACACACACACACACACACACACACACACACACACATGCACAAACACTCTCATATTTATATTAATATAATTCTTGATCACATGAATGTATTTAAATAATTTTACTTTTATTAAATCTGTCTCTGTTTTTCTCTCTCTTTCTCTCTCTCTCTCTCTTTCTCTCTCTTTCTCTCTCTCTATCTCTCTGTCTCTCTCTCTCTCTCTCTCTGTCTCTCTCTCTATTCAGAAAATAATTAATCCTGCATATACTTGATAATGACGTCTATTTCATTTCTTTATTGTTCACGGTCAGTCGCTCAAAATTTGCAAACTTTTGTCGTAGAATAGAAAGAAAGAATGTTGTTCTTTTTATATTTATTAATATTATTGTTATTCTTATTATTATTATTCTTTTTATTATTATTATTATTATTGGTAACATTTCGTGGATCGACCGTTGTTACGCTTTGTGACTGTTGAAGGCAGTTATTAAATAATAATGACTTAACTTGGCCTTCGATTCAATAAATATTCAAAAAATTAATTATTATAGAGGCTATATTAACGTTATAAATATGTAAATATATATATATATATATATATATATATATATATATATATATTATATATATATATATATATAACATTCTTTGTAATTTGTATTGTACATATATTAATCTATCACGTTATTCGTTCGGTTGAAAATAATCCGTGTTTTATTCTGTCTGCCATGTTTGATCGATCGATTGTTTCTGTTTATTCATTCATTCATTCGTTCGTTCATTCATTCATTCATTCATTTTTCCATTCACCTTTTCAGCCACTCTATCATTCATTCTTGGTTCATTCATTCATTCATACGTTCGTTCGTTCGTTCGTGCACTCATTCATTCATCCATCCGTTTATATTTTTATTACAATTCATCTAATAACACGGTCTTGGTGTCATTCTCCCATGCTTCTTCTCATCATAAAAGCATCCTGTTTATCTCTGTTCACCCTGCTCACCCTGTCCATCTTGTTCACCGTGTTCATCCTGTTCATCCAATTCACCCTGTTCTTTGTTCATCTTACATAATTGCTCCTCGCATGCATTCTTTTGTTTTTATTCTTTTGTAAATTGCACGGTTTTTGCAATGTTTATGGATAATATGATGTAATATTACACACACACACACACACACACACACACACACACACATTCACACACACACACACACACACACACACAAACAAACACTTACACATATACAATACATTTGTACATTGTACATTAGCTTATCTTCATGTTAACTTCACATTTATATTTTTTTATTTTCAGTTTTCTTTCTTGTTGTCGTTCTTTTAATATTTATTTCAACTTGTTTTTCTAATGTAATGTATTGTAAGTTTGCTTCGTGAATTTGCTATGTAGCTCTTACGTATGTATACTAATTGTATAAGTCAGTTGTTTGTATGTGCACGTGTGTGTACGTATGAATGTATGTATGTATGTGTGTGCGTGTGAACGTATGTATGTGTGCGATGCGTATGTATGTCTACGCACAAATGTACGTGTGAATTAGTTTGTATAAGCATATTTGTATGCGGATGGGATTTTGTATGTTAAGGAATTGTTGTATGCAGTTTATTTGAGAATGCTTTGTATGGCTGTGTTGTCCTACTTATTGGTTCATCTCGTGAGCTGCTCGCACACACACAAACACACACACACACACAAACACACACACACTCACACACACACACACACACAAACTTAAATGTATATTTATACGCTGGCTTGGTCTCAGTGAATAAAGGAACTAATTGAGGAGTGGATTGAAGTTGAGTCAATGAAAGAAAGAATGAACTTAATGAATGAATGAGTTAATGATTGAATGAATGAATGAATGAATGAATGAATGAATGAACGAATAAACGAAGGAGTGAACGAATGAATGAAGGAGTGAACGAATGAATGAGCCAATGAATTTTTAACGCGAATGGCTTTGCGTGGCACAACGCATAATCTCCCAGCTCTACTGATCGCTATATTTTTAATAAGCATTAACTGAAGTTAATTTAGTAAATATTTAATGTTTATAAATGCGTTTTCAGTCGCGTAAGTCTGTATAGGTGCTTTTATGTGTGTGTGTGTGTGTGTGTGTGTGTGTGTGTGTGTGTGTGTGTGTGTGTGTGTGTAAATATTTTGTATGGTGACGTTTCAATTGCTTGAGGAGACAACTTTCTTTTTTGTAATAAAATCATTTATTTCATTTTCATATTTTTTCAAAATTATAAATAACAATGATAATAATAACAATAAGGTATTGTTGATAATAATGTTGGTGGTAATCATGAAGATGATGTTCATACTTCAAGGTTTATTTTATGTGCGTGTTTGTAAGTGTGTGTGTGTGTGTGTGTGTGTGTGTGTGTGTTTGTGTGTGTTTGTATGGTGTGTGTTTGCGTGTGTTTAAACATTATTGAAACGATGGATTGATATGTTTATCAATTGTTAAAAAAAAAAATCAAAATATTAAAAATTTAAAATAAGTTAATGTTTAATTATTTAATAATAATTAAGATTAATAATGATTATTTTATTTATTAAATTTATTAAAATATAGACAAAATAATCTACAAGTTCGAATACTATATACACCCGCTATTTTACCCAATGCTATTAATTGGTTGGTTGATTGGTTGGTTGATTGATTGGTTGGTTGATTGATTGGTTGATTGATTGGTTTGTTAGTTGATTGGTTGGTTGATTGATTGATTGGTTGGTTGACTGATTGATTGGTTGGTTGGTTGGTTCATTAGTTAATTGATTAGTTGGTTGGTTGAATTGTTTGTTGGTTGGTGATTGGTCTGTTAGCTGTATACAACAACACACAAATATGATGAATATTCATGAACTTTAATTCACGCATGACACGCACTATACATATACATATACGTACATATACATACACGTACATATACATACACGTACATATACATACACGTACATATACATACACGTACACACACACACACACACGCATACAGTCAATTGCAAAATCAATAAAATCACACATGTATTAATTGCGTATATATATATATATATATATATATATATATATATATATATATAATATATATTATATATACAAAATTTGTATCGATCCTTCTCCGCTATACATACCATTCCCGCGACGTACTTAGCATCGACTTTGTTTTGAGATTTCGCGCCTTTTTTTTCTTTTTGCTACCGGAAGTAGATGGCGTATTGAGACTGTTTGATAAGAGGGAAGTTGATAATTTGCCGTTTAATTGTGCCGGTTGCAGTGTGTTGTTTGTGTTGCCAGTGTTGTTGTTGATGATTGATGTTGTTGCGTTGTTGTTGTTGTTGTTGTTGTTGAGGGTGATTGTAGAGGAGGTTGACATTTGAACTCCGTCTATTCTGTACGTACCTTGGTTTCTTCTCCGGTATCTGATGGGGCATTAAATGATGGTGACGATGATGATGGTGATGGTAATGGTAGTGATGGCGGTGACTACAATGACGCCATCAATGATATTATGAATAATGATGGTTACAATTTTCACAAATTAATCCTCCTAGTGAACGTCAGTTGCTGCAACTGACGTCAGTTGCAGTTGCAAAGAGAGCCGACTTGCTACGAGCGAATTCGTCACTGAAGAACGTTAACCCGTGATGTATCAGCAGAGTGAATGAAATCTTTTTATTTTTACAACAGTTCCGTGAGTTGCTATGATTCGAAGGATTAAAATATACATCTGAAAAGCATGAAGTACTGGAATAGGGACGTGGAGCTAACATACGAACAAAAACTAACACAAACATACCTAAAAGATCCAACACAAATGTACAAACAAGAATGAACACGAACACGCAAACAAGAATGAACACGAACACACAAACAAGAATGAACACGAACTCACAAACAAGAAAGAACACGAACACACAAACAAGAATGAACACGAACTCACAAACAAGAATGAACACGAACTCACAAACAAGAATGAACACGAACACACAAACAAGAATGAACACGAACACACAAACAAGAGTGAACACGAACACACAAACAAGAATGAACACGAACACACAAACAAGCGATGAAGCAAGCGAACACGTGAATTAATATTTATAGAGGAAAAGAAAATCTAACGAAGTTACAAAAGTACAAACAAACATTAAATAATGGCTCTGCAAACACAAACGCAAATCGTTCGCATCTATCTTTTATAATAATAAAAAAAACGACAACAACATGAAGCGCTGCAAAAATGAGAATAAAATTTACTCTTTTGCGAATAAAAAAATATCCGGATTAATAGCCCAAAAATATATCCTTCCAAGAAAACTTTCGAATTTTAAAAGCCCAGAAAGTGAAACTGTGTGTAAAGTTGGTCCGACTAACATCACTTATTAACGAATATTATTACTATTATAATTTATTACTCTAAATAAATATTAGAAACAAATTAATTAATTAAATAATTAAAATTCTAACAAAATAGATGAAATTAATACAACAACAAAAACGAAATTCGAATTGTCTAAGATGTGAGCTGTCGCGAAACCTCATTAGTTGAAAAAAGAAAAAATTATGACCAAGAAAACAAACCCATGAATGAAAACAATATAAATACACACACAGACACACACACACACAGACAGACACACACACACAGACACGGAGACACACACACAAAAATGTTGGCAAACCTGTGCAGACTATAAAGCAGTGCGAGTAGTAGGAGCAACAAAATAAAGGAGGCCAGAGCTAATGGTCCTATCACTTTCAATCCACTCCATTTTGTTAATGCTGTAAGTGGCGACAACGATGATGATGGAGACAACGACGATGAGGCTGGTGGGGATGAAGACGATAAGGATGGAAAAAAGCTGTTTTCGAATAAGCTGTTTTCACGTTGTTGTTGATGTTTTAGGAGTGCTGTTGATGTTATTGTTTTTGTTGTTGGTTGGTGTGATGGTGGTTTGTAGTTTAATGCGATTTTTCTATCATCGCTTAGTATTTGGGACATTGTTGTCTTATATGCTTGCGCGACGAAATGTAGTTTGTTGTTGCTGTCGTTGTTGTTGATGTCTTTGTTGCTGTAACTGTTCCATGTTGATGTCGTTGTTAGAAAATTTGTGTTGTGTTGGTAGTTGTTGTTGTATACATTGTTATGGTTTGGATATATGCCGTTGTTGTTGTTGTTGTTGTTGATATTGGCTGACGGTTTATGTTGCATTGTTGAGCTGATTAAATGTGGCGAAGTTGTGCTGGGTAGAAATTTTGTTGGTGACATTTTTGAGGCTACTGTTTGTTTTGTTGGTGGTTTCGTTTTTGTTGTTGTTGGTTGTAGTTGTTTATCGAGCGTGTATCTAGATAGAATATTATTTTAGTAAGGCAAAATATAATTATTAAAAATAATTATTAACCACTTTAATCAAAATAATTATCATATTATTTTTAATAATTATTTTGATTGTAATTAGTTGGGCCGCTGAAATAAGCAGAACTTGTAAAAATGGTTACAAAGATGTACGTTTACAGTAAACCCAAAATGAATTACCATTTCCAATTAAGTTTTGCGTAGCCAGCATTTGAACCAGCGCGTAATGACAACGCAAGCCATAAATGCGGCTAACTTACCATCTGATCTAAACCGCCGACCATGATTTTATTGAATTCGTTATCATAAACAACGTCAACAACAAAAACAACAACAACAATAATAATAATGATAATAATAATGATAATAAACAATGCAAGCGTTTGTTATCATTCACGTTCACTCGCCAGCAGAGTGACAAAACATTTTTTCGTAGCGTGGGACCGGCCATAAATATTCAGATGATGTTTCGATGTTCGCGAACCAGCCGCCAGCCAATACGTACAACACAGTAAAGCGAACATACAACATACAATATAAGTACGTACGCACAGCAACACGGTAAACGTCATTTCATTGTCATCATCGATGTTGTCACCTCACTGTCATCATCATCATCATCATCATCATCATCATCATCTTCACCATCATCATCATAGCCATCATCATCATCATCATCTTCACCATCATCATCATAGCCATCATCATCGTCGTCATCATCATCATTCTTTCTCATAATTAGGTAGGTGATAAATTCAAAAGAGCAGAGACTCGTACAATTTCAAACAGGAAAAAATTTTATTGAAACAAAAATATTTTTCTGATACATTGAAATATATTAATTAAGATTTTTTATTATAAATAATATTAAAGAGAAAATTTATTAGTGGAAGGTGTGACCTTTTTATTGGCCGCAGTTGAAACAAATTAAAAATACCAAATCTCAGACCTGTGTTAAATAATGTGGCAACGCATAGCTCAGGTAGTAAATTCGCATGTTTCCCACAGCTGTCATAACGAATAGTTGCTCTGTGACCGGGTTCAAACTCATGATGGTTTGACCTGTCACACATATGCATGCACACGTATAAGTGTTGTCTTGTTATGATTTTTGATTCATCGTGCATTTTTGATTCATCGTGCATTTTGATCGTGCATTAATTTTGTTGGCAACAAAAATGGTTACAACAAAATGCGACTTGAAAATAAGAAAAAAAAGAGAGAAAGAGAGGGAGAGAGATAGAGAGAGAGAGATATAGAGATGAAAAAAAGAAAGGATGAGCAGAAAGATGGAGATGACAATACGCACTCATCTGCAGCGAATTGAACGTCAAACTTCTCATTACATCCATTGTTATCATCGTAATTACATGTCGCCTTATTGTGACTCAGTTGCAGGCTTTATTAAAACCGCCACCACATCATCATCATCGTCGTCGTCGTAATCATCATTATCATCATCATCATCATCATCATCGTAATCAGCATCATCAGCATCAACATCGTAATCATCATCATCCTCGTCGTCGTCCTTTTTCATTATCGTTGATTTTGTGTTCTATGTTTAATTAAGATCAACATTTTTTTTATTCTACCTTTCTATCTTTTTCAATATCATCATCATCAACTAAGCTGTTGTCATAATCATCATCATTTGTGTGTGTGCGTGTGTGTGTATGTACGTGCGTGTGTGTGCGTGTGTGTGTGTTTGTAGGCAAGTGCACTCGTACAAATTAATAATTTTTGTCCTTATTATTAAAAATGATGAAGAAGAGGAAGATGATGATGAGGATGATGATGATGATGAAGACAAGGTGACGTCATTAATAAATAATAATAATAATGATGAAGATTACAACACTGATGATGAAAAAGATGACGACGACGATGAAATGTATGACTATCCAATTTTCAAACGCCCTAACTTGAATAAAGAAATTTTCAAACCTTAATTACCACATATTAATACATGAGAAATGGTTTGCCAATGAAAAATGGATACTGCTACAATACACGATATATCAACAACTACACAACAACAACAACAAAACCATGTTGATACAACACAAACAATACCAACTGAAACACGTTCAAAAGACATAAACAACAACACACAATAACACATACATGTTGAAACGATATAAACAACAGCACACAGACACGTACTAAAAAGACAAAGACAGAAGAGTACATGCATCATGCAGTAACATACATGTATGTCTAAAAAAGCAACAATAACAACAACACAATAGCAACAAAAACGCACCTCAAATAAAATAACATCAACAAAAACGACAACAAATTAGATAACTACAAATAATCAGGCAACAACAACAACATCTAGTTTTATAGCAGCAGCAACAACAACAACTACTACTACAACAACTGCTACTACTACTACTACTATAACTACTACTTCTACTATTACTACTACAAATAATAATATAATAAAAATAACAAAGAAACAAAACAACAACAAAATAACAAAGAACGAAAAATTGGCCAGCGAACATACATAGAACATGAAAGACGGGCTTATAAATAAAATGTTAATGATGTAATAGAAGGGACATTTTGTATTTTATCACTCAATTTGGCTCTCTTTCATTTTTTGTTTATTATCTTTGCTCTTTTACTGGATTCTTTCTTGTTTTTCTGTCTTTTACTAACCCTCTCTCTCTCTCTCTCTCTCTCTTGTATTCTTTATTTTTTTATTATTCTTTCTCTTTCTCTATCTTATTACCCTCTCTTTTGCTCTCTTTTTCTCTTTCTCTCTCTCTCTCTCTCTCTCTCTCTCTCTCTATTTCGCTTTCTAATTCTCCAAAATTTTTTGATTTCTTTCGCTTTCTAATAATATTTACGCGGTTTTCATTTCATGATTCAAAAGCAAGAGACGCCAATAATTCAGGTTTAAAAAAAATAAATTGCACAAAAAAGTGGAGAGAAAATATAATAATATTTTTGCTTCTTTCTCGCGAAAGATGCATTGTACCTTTCAAATAAATCTCAATATGCGATCGTCGGTTCAACGTATAATCTGCAACATGCAAACAACAACAACAGCAACAACAACAACCACAGCAACAGCAACAACTACAACAACAGCAGTAACAACAACTACAGCAGCAACAACAACAACAACAAAAAACATCAACAGTATACAGAAAATAACAGTAGATCTAGATAACCACAACACCAGATACACCAACAAGATGCAGACAAATGCCACAGCGACGCCAACAAAAGCAAAGAAACAACAAAGTATGGAAGCACAGCAACATGCAATATGCAGTATAGGAAAGAACAGAACATATTTCACGGACGTAAAGTAAAAATCTCCTAACGTGTAATTCTCAATATGATAAGAACAACAATAAGCAACAGTATAACAACAACAGCAATAACAACAACACCAGCGACAACAGCAACAACAACAACGACACCACAACAACCCCACCACCAACAACAACAGCAACAACGACAGCAACAACATACAATCTGTTAAAATATACATTACGAAAAAAGAGCAGAATAAATTACGGACAGCAAAATTATCATATGATGCCTGGTTCAACAATTTTTTTCAAGTATTTTTAGATAGGACAAAAGAATAATAATAGTAATAATAATAATAATAATAAAAAGAAGAAGAAGAATTTTAAAATTATTAAAACTAATAACAATAATATTAATAATTACAATGGATAAACTCAAATACAAATTCACATGAAGAAGATTAATATGGAAAAGATGATGATGGTGATGATGCTGGTAGTGATGATGGTGATGGTGGTGGTGGTAATGAGGATATTAATTAAATAAATAATTGGCGACATATTAATTTCTGTCAAATTAAATTAAGTTAGAATAGAACCATTGCCTAATTTGATTAATTTGTTGGTGCACTAAACTAATTATTTAACAAGAGTTTATTATTTCAAGCTAATTAAATAATGCGAAAAAAGCTATATAAAATAAATATCTGACATGGTAGCTCAGAAAGTAAGTGTGCTGGTTTTGTCATGTCGTTGCGCACCGGCGTAGTTCAGACGCAATCTGTGCAATACACAAAAAACTTTCAAATGAAACGGTACTTGCATGTATGTACAAATTTGTATGGGTATGATTTGCACTGTGTTTGCGTCTAGATATGTGAAGTATGTATTGTGTAGGTAGGCATTACACATGCTAGGTTTTCACGCATACAAGCCGGGAATGGAACAAATCCAAGGATCGAGATTCGTGCTATCCGGATTCGAATCCGTATCTAAGAAATGGATTCTGACGGATTCAAGGTAATTTGTTTTCATACTTCCGGTCACCATCATCGCATCCTCATCATCCTCATCCTTCTCATCATTCTGAGAAGGAGCAACAACATGTGTTTGTTGTTGCTCAATTTATTCGGTCATCATTGGGCAATAAGAAGGCTTCAAAAGCATTAAGTCGAGTTGTTGCTGCTGGAATCCATACATTTTCATTGGCGTGCTTGCTTGTGTGCGTTTGTTTGTATGTGTGAATTTGTGTGTGAATGTGTGTTTGTATGTGTGAATCTGTGTACATGTGTGTACATGTTTGTATGAACAGATTTTGTGTATGCACATGTGCTTGTGTTTGTACAACTTTTTGCTTATATGCGTGTGTGAGTTTCAACATGTGTGTGTGTGTGTGTGTGTGTGTGTGTGTGTGTGTGTGTGTGTACGTGTAATTTAATATATTTTTTCCATATTTTGATGTCCGCAATTTAATTGAAGAATTGTTGGACATCCCGTCTGCTATCTTCAGTAATTTGATACAATTTCAAAAGAAAAAAAAACTAACTTATTTGAAGCGCTATAAAAAGATGACGACGACGACGACGATGAGTAAGGCCTAAGAGGTTGGTTATAAAGTTGAACATTTCCCTGTTGTCTGACTCTACTATCTTTATCGTAAACCATCGTTAGAAGCTGCTGGCCGTTCAGCACAAAGCCTGTTTGCAGTCAGTCAAATTAATATTTATTTATTTACTATTCCATATCTGCTATTTTGTTTTTAAATAATTCCCATTCACATTTAGCTTGCAAAAGTGTTCACGTTAACTGATATAAACAATTTTCTATTCAAGCTGTTGACGTAACTTTTAAATAAATCACCATAATCACTATCATCATCATCACCCTGCTCCTCATCATCATCATCATCATCCTGATCCTCATCATCATCATCATTCTTCTCCTCATCATCATTATCACCACCACCGGCATTCAAACCTGATATGACTCCTTTGTACGGTCTAATAATTTTTGCGCCATCTTGTTTGCCTCCGATGATGACGTAGGCCTGGTTGTTGAATGACGTCAGCTGCTTTCCTGTTACGTCATCAACAACGTCATCATCATTTCCACATGGTCGTCGGCGTCTTTTTAATCGTGTTGTCATCGTAACCACCATAATATAATCTTTGTTATCATCCTTATCTATCATATGCCCATCGCTGTCGTTGTAATATCTTCATCGTTATGACGGTTTCATCGTACATCATCATCAAGATGACGTCATAACCATTATCACAATCTATAGAACCAGCATAGCACCATTGTCATCACCACCACCATAATCATCATTATCATCACTACCACCACCAACATCATCATCATCATCATCATCATCTTTTTCTACCACCATCCTCATTACTGTAATCACCTGTCGGATATTTAGTAACAATCGGTCGGTTATCGACTTGCAGCGTCGAGTTTGGCCCAACCCTGTTAAATCTGATCACGTGGTATTTGTCGTCATTTACAACGTTCGATGTGTCCCCGATGGAGTGGTCAGCTGTCCCGAGATTGTACACCACGAAGATGTAACCGTTTCTCTGCGGTAGTATCGATAAACGGTTCTATGATATCGGTCGGTTCTATTTATCGCTCAGTCGTAGGGATGTAATATCGTTCTTAAAAACATCGATATTTGAAAAAAAATATCAATACCCCCGTGATGAACATAACCGTATTCATCATCGTCATCGTCGTCATCAACAAAAACCAACTCTTTACATCATCATTGTTATCATTATCATAATGAATTCCAACAACATCCACAACCTACCAGGTCAACTTGCAGATAATCATTAGAGTTGCCGCTAATGATTCTAGCTAGTGTTGCAATCTCGTCTCTACTCTGTCTCGAGACGAAACCGAGACCAAAACTGTCTTGGGTGGTGTCGGCCCGTTCACTGTCACTAAATGTTATCGTTATCAGACCCAAATTGTCGTTGTTGTTGTAGTAGTTGCGGTTGTTAATGTCATTGTTGTTGTTGTTGATGTCGTTGTTGATGATGTTGCTAGGGTAGTAATGCTGTTGCTGGTTGTTGTTGAATATATACGAGACAGAATCTGTGAAGAAATATAGGTAGGTAGGTAGGTAGGTAGGTTGTAATTGTTGTCTCTATTAATCTTGCAACCATTCAATCAATTAATCATTCAATCAATCAATTAACCATTCAATCAATCAATTAACCATTCAATCAATCAATTAACCATTTAATCAATCAACTATCCAATCAATTTTACAACCGAAAAATCTCTGTAGTTTTTGTAATGTTAATTCTGTAAGGTTTTGCAACGTTTTAACCATTTTAGTTTTATCTTCCTCATCAATTTTATCACCAACACCATCTTCATCACCATCATCTTCCGAATCATCTTCATAATCATTCTAATTTTTTGGACATTAAAATAATCACAACAAACAATTTAAATTCCCGCCACAAATTTTACGCTCGAGCGGGCAGACGATTATGACGTCACGCTTAACAATTACATGCTTCACGTCGCTCTGAATTACATCTTACAAAAAAAATGGCGTCGTTGTTGTTGGTGGTGTTGTTGTTAGTGTTGTTGATGCTGTTTTTTGTTGTTTGTTTGTATTTTTTTGTGGTGGTGTGGTTTTTGTTTTTTGTTATTGCTATTAGTGTAATTGTTGTTGATGTTGTTGTTTGTTGTTGTTGTTATTGATGTAGTTATTGTCAGTGTTGTTGTTTGTGATATTGTTATTGCTATTATTGTTGTCGTTGTTAGTGTCGTTGTTACGGCTTTTAGCGAATTTAAAATGTAATAGAGACAAAACATTTGAAAATTTTATACAAACTTAAGTAACAAAACCAACAACAATAAATTCTGAACTTATCGCTAACCCATGCATTTTATCTTGGATTTTTATTGAAAATAATTGTCAGCTTCTGAACTGGTTGGTTGGTTTTATTTCTATTCAGGTTGTCATTAGAAATTAAATAGCCCTACTAAAAACATCATTTCGTAGCAGATTTTATGGAAGAAATTTGAAAAAAAGCAAAGAAAGAAAAAAGCAAAGAAAGAAAAAAGCAAAGAAAGAAAAAAGCAAAGAAAGAAAAAAATACAATGCGGAGAGTGCCTGTGGTCTATATTGTGAGAATGCAAGTGGCGGATAAAATTAAATTATGACGCTGAAAAAAATTTAAGAGTGAATCGAGAAAGATTAAAAATACTAGAAACGTGAAGAAATGAGACAAGTGGGAGAGGAAAAATTCTCGAAGAAGAATTGAGAGGCAGGAATGAAGGAACGAAGCAATGGAGTGGATGAAAGTGAAATCAGAGAAATAAAAAAGTAAGAGAGAGACAGAGAGAGAGAAAGACAGAAAGAGAAAGAAAAAGAGAAAAAGTGAGCGTAAAACCCAAATGTAATAAGATAAAAACGTTTAAGAAGAAGCGGTGAAACAAGGAGAGGATAGATAGCATGGTAGATATGATTTTTATTAAGCTTATTGTTGCATTGTGTGCAATCAAGATGACCGAGGTGTTGTATTATGTGAAGGTGATGACGATGATGAAAATAATAATAATAACATTAATAATAATAATAATAACATAAATAATAATAATAATAATAACATTAATAATAATAATAATAATAGTGATGATGATGATGTGACAACGTTAACACGATGAATGACGTTGAAAAAAAAAACTGAAAATTTTGCGCGAATTTTATTTTATTTGAAAAAAAAACCTAATATTTATGATATCCTACTCACCATCATCACAGGCTGGACCGGAAAATGACGTCATATCACAGTTGCACGTGTACGCATTCCACTCGTACAAGCATTGGCCGCCGTTATAGCACGTGACATCTTGGCAGCTTTCTATTGGCCCTTTCAAAAATTTGAATTTGAAACTACAACCGATTACATGGCCGATTACGTCATAAAAAAACTACAACTAAATATATCATTAAAATGTTAATTTAAATAATTAATCAATTTAGATCATACGTTCTTTCATTCAATCATCTTTTAATTCATTTTTCTGTTCATTCTTGCATTCACGGACAGGTCATAAATCATCTCAACGACACACGCATGCGCACTGCAAAAGGTAATATTTTACGCGAGGGAAAATAAATATCGGCAGGCGAGAATGCATGGCAACATATTTTCACACTTTCAATTTTTCCCGCCATTTTGTGACCTCATTTTAAATAGGTCACGTCACGTGGTGTCCCGCCGGCGCGTTAGTGAAATTAACATCAATCATTTTATTATTATGAATTGCTAATGATCGTTAATATTTTCGTTTATTTTTATTCGTATTTTCAAAAGCAATAAAAGAAATCAAATTTAAATTCAAATCAGAATAATTAAAAATATCGCTTTTGGAACTATTGATACTCTTTTTTATTGGCACAGTTGTTCAATATTACTATCATCACCAACATCATCGTCATCATCATCCCATCATCATCATCGTCATCATCTCGTCACCATCATCATCATCATAATCATCATCATCAGGAGAAACCTACCGTCACATCCCTGAGTCACTTGATGGCTGTGACCTTCCCTGATCTTGTACCCTAGTTCTGGCAGACCGACCACCCCATCTCCGTTGACGAACTCGACGGAGGACACACACCCCACCATGCCCGGCAGACTCGAGTTCGGATACTTACCGATGAATACCGACATCCATCTAGCGCCTCCGGTATTACCGCCGATATCAGTGTTGCTTTTATTTCGCGGTTTTTTATTTTGTTGCTGCTGCGACGATGATGATGATGAGGAGGAGGAGGGAAAAGAGGAAGAAGAGGAGGATAATGTAGAAAATGAGTTTAGTGATTTAGATGTAGAAGCGTCATCATCGATTTTGAGGACGAATTCTTTTTTTGGTCTAAATTTGAAGAAATGGAAACAAAACAAAAAAAATTGAAAAAGTAATCAGAAAAAATCGAATTAAAGTAATAAATAAAATAGAATGAAATGTTTCTGTTTTTTTCGTTTTTCTAAAAATAAGAACTGTAGAAACGAAGAAAAACAGTTCTAGACAACTCTCAGAGGACGCCAGATTTACAACCTGTAAAGTAGAGCAAGCTGGTGCCATTGCTGATCGTTAATTGATTCCTTCGATTGACCTGTGACTTTTGCAACGTCATTGTTGACCCAGTTAATGAGGGAACCAATCAGGTAGCCGTTAATCAGGTCAAGTTGAATGAGGGGGCTGTCGCTAATTTGTGGGTCGATGATGGTTAAGATGGTGCAGGTTGGCTGGCTGACTTTCAACTGGGGTGAAAATAATGGTAATAATAATAATAATAAATAATAATAATATAGAAAATGTTATTTTAATAAGTTTGTTTATGCGCACAAAACTATGTCAACTCAATTTTAAAAGACTCAAGTCACTTATAAAGATATAGATAAACTAAATCCTTAATTGTACTGCAAGTTTTTCTACGTAAATATCTACATGTACACTAACTGTACTAAAAAATACTGTACTGTCATGTCGTACAACGGTAAATTTTTAGATTATTTTATTTTTTATCTGGCCTGGCATTGCTGTTGCTGTTGGACCAGATTCGGATGGAAAGAGATCCTCCCTACTTATCACATAAAATGTATTTGATTCGCTGATTTCAGCGCTTTGCGTATGTTGCTGAAACTTTTGAAAATGTTGTTGAAACTTTTGAAAATATTGTTGAAACTTTTGAAAATGTTGTCGAAATTTTTGAAAATGTTGTCGAAATTTTTGAAAATGTTGTCGAAACTTTTGAAAATGTTGTAAAAAAAACTTTTCAATATGAGAAATACAGTATGGAAAATTCTAAATGAATAAATATTTTTATTTCAAATTTTGCTAAATCCATCTTGTATTTTTCCAACTAATGGAAGTTTTTGTCTCTCTCCATCTCTTGGGAAATAAGGGAGAGAAAAAGGAAAAGAAAAAAATTCGTGTCCGTCAGATGCAAACAACTCGATCAATTTTCTTACACTAACTTAACGATTGCTTGGCAAGGAAGAACACGGATTAATTAATATCCGGTGTTAATATATCGACCATCAAGTTGTAGCATAGAAATAAAAGTGGCTTTCCGTGTTTTGATTCTATGTATATCTATGACTGTTTTACCGCGCTTTTAACAAGGTAATGACAGGAATTATATTTTAAACGTGTGTGACGTCAATGATGGAAGTGTATGCACGTACGTGTTTTTGTATTTGTCTGTGTGGTGTTGTTGGCACGTTTGTGTGTGTGTGTTGTTTGATGTTTGTGTGTTGTTGCATGTATGCGTGAGGTTGTAGATGATGTAGATAAGGTTGTAGAGGTTGTAGATGTGTAAATATGTGTGTGAGTGAGTGGAGGGAATGATGTGTAACTGTGTGTGTTTGTGTGTGTGTTGTGTGTGTGTAGAGAATGATGTGTAAATGTGCGTGTGTGTAGTTTTGCATAGTTTCGTTGAGTAGTAATGACGTGATGTTTGTTAGTTAGTTTTATGTTTGTTGCCTGATTTTGTGTGTGAAGTGAATGTCGCCTGCTTGCCTGCTAAAAAGCCTTGCCTGATTGAGTGTTATTATCTTATTTGCCTATCTGAACATTGCGTGTTCCTGTAAAAATCTTTTAAGGTTTCAACTTTTAAAGAAATTTCTATTATTCACTAATAACAATTATTTCCAAGTAATTTTTCATTAAATCGTTCTTTCTTCCGTTGTTTAATTCTTTTTTGGTTTTCACATGATTAAAATTTTTTTTATAGCATCATTATCACCATCAACATCATCATTATCATCATCATAATCATCATCACCATCATCATAATCATCGTCATTATCATCACCATCATCATAATCATCGTCATTATCACCACCATCATCATTATCATCATCATCATAATCGTCATCATCATCATCGCCATCATAAATAAATTTAAAAATAATAATAATGAAAACATTAGCAATAATATGACAATGATAATAATAATATTGGTAATAATGATAATAATAAGGATAATAATAACCACAAACATCATCATCGTCATCTTGATTGACAAACCTGCAGATAAATATGTAGATACTTCTTGAAGAGAAGATTATTGGTGAGTATGTACGTATTTTCTGATGTTAAAGATAGAGGGTTTAGTCTGTTTGAGGTGGGAGTCTCTATCATTGCGTCGTTTATCATTTTATCAATGTTGTTGTTGTTGATGTTGTTGTCGATGTTGTTGTTGTTGTTGATGTTGTTGTTGTTTTTGTTGTTGTTGTCGATGTTGATGTTGTTGTTGTCGATGTTGTTGTTGTTGACGTTATTGTTGTTGATGTTGTTGTTGATTTTGTTGTTGATTTTGTTTTTGTTGATGTTGTTGTTGATGTTGTTGATGCTGTTGTTGGGTTTAGTTTGAAATAAACTTTTTTGGGGTTTCATTAATTTAGTATCGGCGTTTATAGTTATGTGTTGTATCTTTCCGTTAATCCCTGTTACTGTTATGAATGGTAAATCAGTAAATGAATGAATGAATGAATGAATGAACGAATGAACGAATGAACGAACAAACGAACGAACGAACGAATGAATGAATGAATGAATAAATGTACGAATAAATAAATGAATGAACTGATGAACGGACGTATGGATGAATTAATGGATGGATAGGTGGATGGATGAATGAAAGGATAAATGAATGCATGATTGAATGTATGTCGGTGCCAGAGAAATGAAAAACGAATAACTAACACGGAACATTATATTCGAATGGCGACGATAATGATGATGACGCTGACGACGACGATGAAGATGAAGAAGATGATAACGGTGACCATGACGACGACGATGACGATTTTGATGACGTAATAGAGTGCTGTGACGTCAGAGATGGCTGGGATGCTTTCATTTTTGTAGCGATGACTTCGCTGATGTGTGCTGGGAGTTGGCCGATGTGCACGATGTTCATGTTGATGGCAGTTGGAATTCGCGGCTGTTGTCGTCGTTGTTGCTTTGTATATTTTGGCTGTTGTTTGTGTTGTTGCTGTTTTGTATAGTGTTGTTGTTGTTGTTGCTGTTGTAGTTGTTGTAGTTGTAGTTGTTGCTGTTGTTGTTGTTGTCTAACTTTAGTAACTGGCCTCAACTTTCCTATTTAGATGCAAATTAGAGCGGACAATAATGGAAATGAAGTGGAATGATTAAGATGTTTCATATTTATTGTTGACTTCGACAACTTATTATCGAGAAGATAGCGGGGAGGTATTGGTTTTTTTTAAAGATATCTTCAAACTATCCTTATCTGCACGCCATCATACTAGAATTGTATTGTACGGTATTGTATGGTATTGTATTGTATTGAATTGTGTTGCATTGCATTGCATTGTATTTTGTTGTATACTACAACTAACTTTACTATTATTAACACTGTTAATATTATTACTATATCTAGGTTAAATTTTTTATTTCCAATTTATTACTAATGGGTAAGTGTTTTTAGCAATTGTTACCAACGGTTCAATTGTTGTTTAGGACATATACAAAATAGAATACATACAAAACAATAAACATACAAAACTATAAACATACAAAACAATAAGTATACATAACAATAAACATAAAAAACAACAAACATACAAAACAATTAGTATACAAAATAATATAAACAACAGAGCTCTGATGAAATTTATCGCAATCAGCTCGTGTTGTCGGCAATTTTAATCGATACCAAACACAAATCATACTACCTCAACGGCGTATCGACAATTATGGAATAACATCAATAACAATAAAATAACAGTAATAACAACAACAATAACAATAATAATTATAATAAAGAGTATAGTTGTATTAATAACATAGTTGCCATTTCTCGGAAACAACAACCAAATCAAAACAAC